CTTAGACATAAATCAGTGACATTAAACCAGTGATTAAATCGGCCTGTTCGTTTTGATGTACCCTGCTGTGATATATTAATAACTTTTTGCTTTCTGTAGTAAATACTGTCAGAAATCATAGTCCAATTCCAAATTATACCATTTACCAAGTCTAATGCAACTTTTAGGATATTACACAGTATTTTGTCTAAGTATTTTAAATCAATCATGGTTCAACGTGCACACACACGTTTTTAAATTTTCCTAGTGGTGTGTAATTGCATTTGAAGCTTAGGATTTTGCTTTGGTGGGAAAGACACATCTAGCTTTCCACACTCATGTAGGGAATACATACTTTGGAGATAGTGTAATGTGAAATTCCTTCACTGAGAAAATCAGAATGACATGTAAGGAACTGCCTGTGGATCTCAGAGCCAGGTTTAAGCAGTGGAAAGATAATTTCTGTGCTAACACTGCCACCTATCGAAAAGTAAGAGGCACAGTCATTGTTTGTCCCTGTTTTCATCCCTTCTTCTTTGGTAGGCTGCAGTGTTTTCATGGGTATATTCTCCTCACTGCTGTCATTAATAATGTAGTGTTATCAGTAAAAATTCTAAATAAACTAAGCTTAAGTGGTAGATCAAATATAGCTATAACTCAGAAGATAAATTCTCTCCAGAACAAAATCAGTAACATATGGAAGTCTCCCCGTGAATGGTGACAGAGAGCTACTAAACCTCCAGCACATAAACATGGCATGAAAGTACATGTAGAGCCCTGATCCAACAGAATTCCACCAGCTGGGATCTCCCTTCCATCCTGGGAGAGCTGCACTTTTCCTTTGTTAGAGAAAGGATCTCCCTCTGGCTGCTTGCTATTTGCTCTGAGGTTCTTATACCTTTTTTATCTCCTGCCTCACTAACGTTAAGATCAAACCACGATTGCTTTTTACCTAACGTGGCTTCATCTTGTGGTTGAGTTGTGGTTTCCCCTCAATGCAATCCATAGTTGTTTCCCAGCCCTGGTTGTTAGAGGTTCCCTTATCTTCAAGTGTCTCTGGTGTCACAACTCCTTTCCTGAACCATACTTTCACCTTTACCATTTCCTCTCACAAATTAGCATCCATATCGTACAACGGCCATTAGCAGGGAAACACTTGAACCTTGCAATTTTATTATCTCTTGCATTTCCCAAGAGTTACCCCTGCCCCTACAGTAGTGGGAGCTAAATTTAGTTCAGGAAACCAGCTGCTTTCTCCTTCCCTGAGTCACCTTTTGTTGTGCAGTCCTGCTCCCACTGCCAGCTTTTGATCAAAGATACTCTTGTTAGTAAAGCCAACAATGAGCGATGTAAGGGCTGTCCTTGGGTCAATAAAAAGACCCAAGGAGACCTTTTTATTAACTTTGCAAATATTAACTAAAATGTTTTTAAAAGGCAAACTGTTATGCAATACTTTCAAACAATGCTCCTTCTCCTTTCCAATTAGCAAGGGTATTAGCAAAAACCCAATCTCACTTATGACTAAAGTAGTAAATCACTTTTTTTAAACCCTTATAACTTTTTTTTTCTGGAGAATGGAATCAATTATGCTTTTCTACTGAGAAACATAATATAAATTATGTTTTTGCATGCTGTATGGATCCTAGGGTTTTATTAAGCGACTGCATCTCCTGTGCAGCTCAAGATGAAAAACTTACCAGGATGGCACAGATGGAAAGGTCATTAACAGAACTGGAGAAATCCATCTGCAAATCTCACTCTGTAAAGGGTTTTATGTAACAGCTCAATCTCACTGAGATGCTATTGAATAACAGGTGGCATGCTGGAAATCTTCTAATGCTTTACAAAGCCTGGATTTATGGACAGGGGGTTAAATCATTGTATTGCTTATTGTCTGAAGGGTGAAGAGTGGAGAGTTCTACACTGGTGATTTATTAAATATGGATGCTGTTATGATTCTTTCAAAATGAAAAATAAAAGACAGCTCAAAGAATGATTTATTCTTCATTTAACACAGTTTCAGAAATGAGCAAATCTCCAGAAGCCCTTGAAAAATTTAAGAATTTTTGAATTAAATAGCATCAGAAAAAAAGTGAGATGACAAAGGCACTAAGATACTGTTTGGTTAACTAGAGAGTTACCCCTTGACAGCTTTAGTTAGGACTTGCCATGGACTTTACCAGGACTTACCTTCATGAGAGAGTGTGAACTGTTTCACAAGACAAAAGTTTATGAGCTGTGTAACCAATGTCAGAGTTATCCAGTTCCCCAGCTGATGGAAAATTCCTCCAAATCCAACGCTCTCTCTGTTGTTTTATGATCTGAGATCATAGAACTTCCTTCCAGTTCTTACCACAATTCTGGCAAATCTCAGATGCTTAGCTGCCACTCCTTACTCCTTAGCTGGATTCACTTATTCTCTCAGGTTATCTAATTTTTCACCTTATTTACTAATTTTGCTAAATACATGGTAAAGAAATAAACTGCAGCAATCTGACCACTAAATCTGAGCAGCAGAAAATAAAAAAATTTAAAAGGGCAACAGCAAAACTTACACAACTTCACTGTTGGATTTCACTATATTTGAGAAACCTGTGTGTCAGCACAGATATCTTTGCTTTGATTAAGCTTCACACAATTGTCACTGCTAGCAACTGAAATTCTCCTTAAGATACAAGAATTGCAACATTGTTTTCCTACACATCTTGATGTGAAGTTGATCATTCTTTATGATTTGTATTCTCCCATTCTTCCCTCGCTGCCCTACAGAGATGTACACTAATTTTTCTATGTAATTTTGTATGCAAGGTTATTGGAACAATGGTGCTTCCAGGACTTAGGGTGAATAACTTAGAAAAAAAATTTGAACAAAAAAATTAATTACCTGAAGGAATGAAAACAAAGTCTCCTGGTTATGTCCTATTAGGCCAACCTTCTAATACCTCACTTAAATTTGAATACACCCCCCAGTTTATTGTCAGCAGATGAATTTATGATACAAGATCCTTTTCACCAAAGGCAAAGGTCTTTTGTCTACTTGCAAAATATTATCCAATCCATTCTTCAAACAGCCATGGACCTCACTCTAATGCAAATTGTGAATTTAAATTTTATGTAGCACCTGCCATTGAAGTAAATAGGTATTTTCAAATACTCCCCAAACAATGTTTATGGAATATTCAAATAACTGCTGAAGTTCAGGGATCAAATATACTTCAGCCTGGGACTTCAGAGCTACAGGCAGAAACGAAGCTGTGTGCCACCCCTTGCAGGAAAAATAATAATGATGGACTTAGCCATGTGAATCCCTAGAGGACAGGGCTGGTTTCTAACACATGTAGCTTCTACTCCTAACTCCAGTAATTAGAAACTTTTAGCAGATTTTAGCAAGACTGGATATCTGGTATCTCATAAATAGATGGTCAATAAATCGCAAAATATTTTTTAAATAATAATATTAAGTTAATTCCCTAAGAATAGTGCTGATGAATCAAAAATGTACCTCTAGCAATTCCATATACAAAGAACTTTAGCAGCAGGAGCTAATTTAACAAGGAATAATAAACAATGTAAAGACTTTCAAAACAGTCTGGATTGTTGTCCCAAATTAGCAGAATTATTCCAACATCAAAGAGAATCCAGGTACACAGCAGCAATGGCATTTCTCTTTTCTTTTGCTTTTTGACTGGTCAGAAGCAACCAAAAAATTTAAAATACTGAACAAAAGAACTCTTCAGCAGGACTAGAATGAAAATACTGGAAAGGACTTCTTCCCATAGCTGGATCCCGAGAACCATTCTGTTGCATGTGCTTGTGTGCTGGGGTGAGAAATTGCAACTTATCCATTGCTTGGACATTTGGATAAAATATTGAAATAATTTAAATAAATCTATAAATGCTAAGAAATTGACCTGCCATTTCAAGTGTCTGCTTTTGAAGTGAAAATGTTCTGTTTACACAGAACACTTGTTCTGTTTACCCTGTGCCCTCTAAACAACAGACTCTCAATCTGTGAAAACCATGGTCTAAACGAGGAGCAAAGGGGACTGGAGGACCTGAGAAGTAACTAACCGGTTTTTCCTTGCCTCAGGCCACACTCTTGCACAAAGCAATTACTAAAGGGTTATTAAACAGAAGCAAGCACGGACAGTTTTATTTCCTGTCACCTCTACACTTCCATTGGCGAACATGCAAGCCTTAAGTTGCAAAACAGCCCAAATAATAAAATTAGGTCATGCTCAGGAGGAGTCTCATTTGACAACATATTCATCACTAGATGTGGTGGGCTGACCTTGGCTGGGTGCCAGGTGCCCACGAAGCCACTCTGCCTCCCCTTCTCAGAGGGACAGAGGAGATACAATAAGACACAAAACAACTTGTAGGTTAAGATAAGGCAGTTTACTAAAACAAAAGCAAAAGCTTGTGCGTGCACAAACAAAGAATAGAAAAAAAAATTATTTTGTACTTCCCATCAGCAGGCAATGCCTAGCCACTTCCTGGGAAGCAGGGCTTCAGCATGGAAGTGTTTACTTGGCAAGGCAAACACTGTAAAGAATGAATCCAATGCCTTCCTCTTCCTTTTTTTATATTTTATATTCGAGCTGATGTCATACACTATGGAATGTCCCTTTGGACAATTTGTGTCACCTGGCCGGGTTGTGTCCTCTCCCAGGACCTTGCCCACCCCCATCCTATTCAAGGCACGTGGGGATGCTGGAGATGCAGCTCTGCTGGGCCAGCACTGCTCAGCTGCAGCCAAAACACTGCTGGGTTATCAGCGCCCTTCCAGCTCCCAGAGGAGCACAGCACAGCTCTGTGAGCACTGCTGGGGGAAATGAACTCCAGCTCAGACAGACCCAGTACACCAGAGCAATAAAATTTTACATTGATTTCAGATAGTTCTGTTCAAATGCATTACTTTGCTCTGAATGTATACATTTGATGTGTTTGATAGGAAGATAGAAACAACAGTATGTGAACACCAAGGCAAAAACTACCAAAGAAGAATACCCAGGAAAACATCAGTGTCTCCTTATTAGGCTTAGTTTATTATTAACATTTAATATGGAGGTATTCCTCTTCTTTGGGAATCAAAGTATTATTATAGTAGTTATAAATAACTACTTAATTAGTTACTTTGAAATTACAGAGTTCTTGGAGAAATAAAAAAGGTTGCTATGTACTTCTCCAAATCATACTATTGACCTGTAGAGACAGAGTCTTTATTTGAATGCTACAAATTATTTCTCCAGATTAAAAAAAATAATAAAAAAGACCATAAAGCTTTTAACTTATAGAAATGTAACTATAACATGTACATTTCTCATATTCTAACTGGAGCTCTGCAATTCATTGGAAAGTTGGGAGATTCATGTTCTTCTTCCTTCCATAGAGAACATTTAGATTTCATTGCCAAACTCCTGATTGCTGCTGGTTATCAGAACCATGCTCAAAAAACATGAAGTCCTAAAGAGATTTAAAAAAGCAAACATTACAAACAACATTACAACATTACAAACAATTCTTAAATGTGGTTCTTAGTTCTGAGATCTCCTGGCTGCATTGCAAGATGTACACCTTCCTCTAAGAAACCTGAAAGGGTGAGAAGAAGATGGGGGCACATTTGCCATGCCCTCACCAGGGTCTCTCAGAATGGGACATCCACAGAAAGATGGTGAAAGACCAACATGGGAACTTTTAATTTATCACTAGCCAAAGTCATGCTTTCTTTACTCAGGATTTCTGCCCTGACTGTTCCCCTGACTCATTCTCTCTCATTTCACCTCAGACTGGAGTCCCTCACAATAATGGCTGTCATTAGTTTACTGGCAGGGGCCCCATTTCTGTGCCTGAAATCTCACATTTTGCTCACAATCGCCAATGCTGTACTTGTTGCACTTGGTAGCACAGGAACACACACAGCTGAACAAAACCTTGCCCATGCACAGGGCTGTCAGAGGTTGAGACTTTTCCAAACTCAAGGTGCTTCACATGCCCCTTTCCTGCCCCTCAGCAGCCCAGCCAGCACAGAAGCAGTGCATGTTTTGAAATGGCACCTTGATGCAGAACTGTACTGTTAGGTGGAAACAGGAGTGTGTTCCACACTGTTTCCAAAGAGGAAAGTGAGCTGCACTGCATTATTGACAGTATGAGTGTACTGAGAAGTGCTCTGACAAGTTCAACGAGCTTAGCCGTCACAGTAGTCCCTCCATTTGGAAATTACTGCTCTGAGAGCATTAATCCTGCTCAATTCAGTGCTTCACATGCTTCCAAAGAGAGTTGGGAGGCAGTGGCTGCAGCATTCAGCCATCCACGAGTCCAGCGGGCTGCTCAGGCTTTGGATGGGTCTCTTGACTATTCCTAATCTGTATTTTTCTGGTTTCACCATCCATAAACTTGCTTTCCTCTGCTAATGAGTCTGCAAGAAGTCTTCCCTTTTCCTTTTTTCAGTCCCACCAAATATGAAACTCTTCTTAAATACAATTAGCACTTCATGTAATCTAGAATAAGCTTATTGTCTAAAATAATTCTGTATTGCCTTTTGTGGTCAGTTTTACACACAGAAGTTCACAAGCTGTCACCCACTTGAAGTAGCTCAAAATTGACTTCTTTACCATCACAATTTAAACATGGAGATGAAAAAGTTAGTTTATGTTCAGGTATTAGTGAATGACAGACTTACGATAAGGAAGCAAGCACCAATCATGACAGCTTTCATTTTCACATCAAGGTCCATTGGGAATGAGATTCCAAAGTTATCTGTATCTGTAAACATTTCCTGCACAAAACCAGTCCACTGCTTAGAAATCCTCCCAACAGCACAAGTCTCATCCACAGACTTCACCTACAGTTCGACATAACATCGAAAAAAACATCATCAAACCTCTCATTCATAATATTCACAAATCCATTTTGGAATAGATCCAATTAAATGCTTCTGACTGTTAGTTTAATTAATACAGTTATTGAGTGCAAGGGTTTGTACCAAAAGGCAATCAGAGTATCAGAAAGTTGGTCTAAAGTATGAGAGCCATGAACTTGATTCTGAATCTGACTGGGAAGTTCAGTTCCTTGCTGGTGCTGGGATACAGCAACCACACGCACACACTGCTGGAAGTGGTGTCTTTTAGCCAAGACAGTGAATGAGTTTCCCCCGCCATGCATCAGGAACTGCTCAAGTGAAAATGAAACAAATTACATTCTTCTGTTTAAAAGGAGAGATTCACCCTCTGGCAACATTTTCCAAAGTTAGATGCAGTCTTCTAGGTCATGTGAAAGACTAGTTTCCAAAATAAAATTATACAAATTTGCTGCAGTAACTATTTGCAACATCATTTTAAACATTAAATTGTAACCTCATATGTCTTTAATTTAATGTCCACAAAAACAATGTTGCATTAGTTTATATTATTTTAAAAGGAAAGTTGTAAGTCTTCAGTCATTCAACTGTGTATTTCAGGTCTAAATTATCTTAACTTACTAGCTCACTGAATGATTATTAGATGATTAAATAAGTGTTTGAAGGAAGAAATTTTAATAAATACCTGACACAGCTGACTATATTTTTCTTAGAGCCTGACATAACAGATTCAAAAAGATTTTGCTGCTAAATATTTTAATTAAATGATATGGGGAATTCTCAGTGATCACTGATGAGTGGCTTTAACACGTCATTTCTGGAAGTTTGTCTGGTTTATCTAGAGTAATTTAGATATCTAGAGAAGTTCTTTGATCATATCAGCATTAAAAGATGATGTAGCATTTGATAGTAGTAGATAGTAGTAGATCTGTAGCATTTGATAGGTAGTAAGTCAAGCAACAAACTAATATCAAACTGAAAACAGATACATGCAAACAATTTTTACATTGCATACCTCAAAATTAACGTCCTGAAAACAACTGCACACAACACATGGGCCAATAATTTTCAGCATATCCCTTTTGTTCTCATCTTGAATGGTAAATTTTGGCAGGCAGGCATGCCAAGTCTGGATAACATAACCAACTGTTGTTCCTGGAGGTGCCTGGACTTCCAGCTTCAGAGGGAAGAGAAAACCTCCACATGAATGATCATGCTTCCATATGCTAGTGAGACAAAACCCACACCAGCACACACAAATGAAAAACAACCTATTTTTCTACAACAATCCGGCCTTACAAAGCATTTTGCTGTGAGTGTTTATAGAAGACCACTCAGATTGCAAACCTCTTAATCAGTTTTTGCCTTCAAGAAAACAGTAATAGACTCCTCAGGCTCCGGAGCACACAAACTATGCATCAACAATATAAAGACCAAAGTCTAGTGAAAGAAAGGCAGTGAATATCCCAAAAACATTCGGTGAAGGCATTATAGGGTGCAGCTACTACAAATGCCTCAACAGAAGCTCTCAGTAGGCTTAGATTTAGAGTTTCAGAAGTTGTGTCATTCCAGAATTATGTTAATATTTTAAAAAAACTCACAACCTCCTCTGTTGAATGTCACTATAGCTTTCAGAGCTGTAAAACAAAAATTCTAGCTGTTATTTTATGAAAGCTGTTGCCTTACTCTTCCATTCCACGTCCATCTCCAGTGCAGATTTCAGCACCAGCCATAAGTTCAATGAGATTTTTTCATCACTGCAATCAGAATTGGCCAGTGAGTCCAAGTGTTGCAGCACACTTGCTTCTTCCCAGAACCAAGAACCCCATGCACAAACCCCACAGCTCTCTCTTCCCACACCTTACTGGCAAACCCTGACTCATTTCACCTCATCTCCTGATTCAAGACAACCCCAGCTGAACAGTGCACAGGAGGTGCCTGTCCCAGGAGAAGGAAGGCAGTGAGAGGCAGCAACTCACCTCCTGCAAGCAGCAGGGGAAGCAGCAGGAGGAGCATCTCAGAGGTCTGTGCAGCGTTATCACCTCGTGGCCCAGGTTGTCAATAATCCGGATGGTGAAGGGCCGTGATGACCCACAGAAATTCCTGGTCAGGCAGTCAGTGTCCTCTGCTGCAAAGTACACCCTTTGTCCCAGTGTATTCTTGATTTCGTATTTGTTGTTTGTTTCAAAGCCAGTCACAACTGAAAAATGGGAAAAAAACTGCTAAAGTCCTAGGAGTGTCTGGTCAGACACTCCCTGCTGACTCTGAAGCTGCTCTCTGGGAGGGCAAGCCTTGCTCAAAGTCTGTCAGAGGCAGCTTTAGGCCAAGGGAAATGACAGGAAAGAACCTTCAAGCAGTGAAGCCTGATGGAGGGAAGAAGCCACCATGAACAAGCACACGTGTAAAGAAACAGAGATTCCCATCTGTCCTCAGTGTCCAGAACTTGCTGCCTGCACAAGCACCACCATTACCAGTAACACAGCAGGGAAGGTTCTCAGGGGAGAAATGAATGGTTAAAGAGAGGTGTGAATTTGGGGGTGAAGCCAAAAAAGGGCACAAATACGTTCAGAATAAGTAAGCTACAAAAAAAACCCCTCTCAGTCAGGATTTACAGCAGCACACATCAAAAGCAACAAGAGCCAGATTTTTTAATTAATTTCTATAACAAATGAAAGCACTCTTTTAAGTTTTAGGAAGAACCAGAAAGAAAAATGCAGCAGCAACATTAGCTGGGATGTATGGTCCATTTCATTCCTTCTATTTGAAAGGCAATGATAATACAATTTGGAAATTCTTAAAGTAGAGAAAGAGGGAGGCAGAAAGAAAGCCATTCAGTTTGCTAAAACAACAGGATTGCCTGTGAAAGAGATCAAAGCCACATGGAATTAGGTGGCATATGACAGGACAGAAAACAAGATCTTAAAGTAAGGAGGAGAGGAAAATAGAAATCATTCTTAACAAGTAACATTGGAAATGTGTGACTTCATCTATAACTAGCTATATATCAACTACAGCAGCTACAACTAAGATTATTTAGTTGCATTGCTATCTTATTGTATCTTATAAGATATAAAACCTGCTGAAAATCTCTCTTATTTTCTCCTTCTCTCTTCCACTTCTTCAGGACTTCTGCAGGAATTGAGACAGGTAAAACAGGAAAGACAAAGGTGGTAACCACCTTAAAGACACAGTGTCAAAGAAAGCCTAAACTTTACTGTTCTTGGGATTATTAGATCAAAATACTTTGTACTTACTCTCAAGAAGTTCAAGTTGCTGATGAATTAATATCTGGTCGATCTGCTCATGGTTGCAAAATGAAACAGAAAAAAACAGTTAATAAATTGCAATTAAGAAAAACTAGTTTTAAGAACCTCTTCTGTTTCATTTAAGAATAAAAATGTATGGATCAATACACTGTGTAGAGGCAGATTATCTCCCACTTAAGCTCTGGAGATAGCTCACTCTCCTCCTTGCCCTGTCCCCTGCAGGTTTAGCAGAAGAGTGTTCCAGAGCACTGGGACTGATGGGGGCAGCTGAACACCAGTGCTGGTTTCTTTGCCATTTTGGGTTTTTTTTAAGCACTTTGCAAAACTGGCAACAATACATCAGTATTAATCTTTTCAGTGCTGAGATGAACTGTATTTTACAGTACAAAGACATACTCAGTAATGTGGAAACAATTCTTATTTTGCTATTAACATTCTCTGTGCTATGAAGTCTGACTGGCAGCTCTACTAACAGTATTAAGAGGTGTGAAGAAAGCATAATGTAGAAAATTGTGTTTCTAATGTGCTAGAGTTGCCCATATTATAGGTATTTATTCTATATACCTTTCCAAAGGACATTGCATCTCCCAAACAGTAACTTCAGAAATGGGAAGGATGTATGGCAGCCCTATGTCCCTCATCTTTTAACATCCTACTTGGCAGGAAGGTACTCCAAGAACAAGTGCTACATCTCTAACAGGTCTCTCTGCATTCAGAATTTACATAAGGCTTTGCTCAGCAGCCCACAAGCAGCAACCCATGGAGCTGCAACAGCCAGATGCTTCATGTAGCTATTTCATGGATGCAGGCTGCTTCCCAGAGCAGAATTCTTCATCTCTGGGGAAGGAGGATGGGTACAGTTACCTGTGTGAGGTACTCCAGTCCAGGAGGGCAGTTGGGAATAGAAGGAGGGATAGGCATCCAGATTGTCCCATTCATGGGCTGGTTCTGGACAGGTGGAACAAATCCACCTGGGAATCCCATGGGCTGTCCCTGGAATCCATAGTTCACTGCACCTGTGACGTATGGCATGGTAGGAGAGATAGGGTTATGAAAGTTAAATGTTGGAAAAGAATTGCCCCATCCATCTTCAAAAGAGTAATTTATTCACTGTTTGGAACTATGGAGATCCTTATGCCTTATATATTTCACTTATGAATACAAAAACTCTCATAAAAGGAGTTAGACTGCTGTGGGAGGTTCTGATGCCTCACACAAAACAAACCAAATAAAGAAATGCATCATTCCTGAACACGGAAGACGTTTCATTCACATATAGACCAGTCAAATTCAAAAAACAGAAATAAGTAGATGAAGGGCTTTTATAAGTAGAGAAGAAAGAATACTTTAAATTTCATGAAAAGCATTGGCATTTCCACACTGCCAGTTGAGCACATGAGGAATTTTAAGACAAAGTTTTCCTGGAACTACACCTTCTACTTTTGTGAAAAGAAATGTCCTTTTAGCAAAGTTCATCTCCAGTTTTCAAACCAGATAATTCGTAGATCTTCAGTCCACACCAGCTCAGCATCAAATTTCACATTACACTGCAACACATGGACCAGTGCATGTGAAAGATCAGGCTGTGGCCATGAGCAGGCCAGTACCTCAGGTGATGTAAACAGTGGCTTAAAATCATAGGTGGCCACATCACCCACCCCAGAGAAGAACACTCCCTTTGGGAACTGAAAATCACTTTTATGTCTGAGCACAGGCTTTGCACACCATCTACCTACTGCTAGTGTGAGCAGGTGTGTGCACATAACAATTAGTGAAAATAACAATGCTCCTGCCACCTCCATGGCACAAGCAGTGAGTGCTTGTTCCCTGCTAAAGCCAAGTGTACTTACAGACCTCAGAGTGCCTTGTCCCAGGATGCACAAGCTTTAACTTATGAACAGTACAGTAACTTAGGCCAAACATTTTCGCTTTTTACCTCTGACTTATGCTCTGAGCCTGACTGTTAGATATTTATTGTGATTTGGTTCTTCAGAAAGAAATCACTGCCAGAATGAGAGAAGCTGTTCAGAAGTGCTGCATTTTGACGTGGAGAAGAAAATGAGAAAGGAGAGAGCAAATAAGGGAAAGTGTAAGTAAAACCAACTGCAAAGTACATCAACAGAATATGGAACAGGAACTGAATACATGCAATATATACAGTTGCAAGAGGAAAGCAACTCTATCGTCACTTCTGTATTTCTAGAGAAAAATAAAGTTAAATACTGAAGTAACATGATAATTTAAAAATATGATTATCAGTAACAACCTGCTGCACATTCACTGCAATCAGTAACACCTGGCAAACCTCCCTAGCAACCTCCCCACAATGACCACTGAGGAACACCTGACATTTTTAACTCCTTCCACTGTTGGTAGTGCTCAGCACATACTAAGATACAGAACTACAAAGGAAAGAAATTACTTTTGGGCAAAACAGAAATTAAAAGAAACTCTAGAATTAATAGCAGAAAAGTAAACTGGAGATGATCACCCTTGTACATATTCCATATTCCCCATGCATATTTCCTAATAGTCTCACAGATCTGTAACCAAGCCACCCACCTTGGTAAGTCCCAGGGGCCTGCTGAGGGAAGCCATAGGGCATTCCAGGTGCTGTGGCAGGGACCTGCTGAGTGGAGCCATAGGGCATTCCAGGTGCTGTGGCAGGGACCTGCTGAGCAGAGCCATAGGGCATTCCAGGTGCTGTGGCAGGGACCTGCTGAGCAGAGCCATAGGGCATTCCAGGTGCTGTGGCAGGGTCCTTCTGAGTGGAGTCATAGGGCATTCCAGGTGCTGTGGCAGGGTCCTTCTGAGTGGAGTCATAGGGCATTCCAGGTGCTGTGGCAGGGTCCTGCTGAGTGGAGCCATAGGGCATTCCAGGTGCTGTGGCAGGTTGAGATCCTGGAAGAATGGAAAATACACTCTATGAGTATGGATCATTTCCTCCTACCCTGGGTGAAAGATCCCCAGCACTGACTCCTTTTCCAGAGTACATACAGAACAAAATCTAGGCAGCTGTTTTCTGTATAGCAAAAATATACATCAAGATTGTATTTATGAACAATGTGTGCATCAATAAAACCTAATGGAGTTCTGGTCCCTAAAGCACGGAAAAAAGACAGGTACTGCACAGGATGTCATGAAGATGTCACAGAATCACAGAATTGTTTAGCTTGGAAGGGACCTCCTGAGATCACCTAATGCACGCCTTGCTCAAGCAGGGTCAGTTCACTCTGTCTGGAGCAAAGATGGTTTTGTTCATTGATATTTAGAAAGAGGCTTGAATTCAAAGCATTGCCAGGAACTGACAGGCTGCCCTCCAGTACAGAACAGGGCAGTGTGCCATTTCCCTCTGTGTAAAACCCAACTTCTTCAAGTTCAGACTACAGTGCCTCACTAGCAGATGGAGAGGGTTATGGATTTAAAAGCATTTACCAGCTTCAGTTTGTATACAGAAATAACTTGAATTTCAAGATTACTAAATTATTTATTATTTTTACTTAACTTCAGAAATCATGATCTACCAATTTAAGCTCTAAATTTTGTAAAATATTCCATTTAAAAATGTAAATAGTTTCAGGTTAAACCATTCATCCATATTTCATATAATTAGAAGGTAAGCTAATAGCTAAGCTAATATTGCTTGAATGTGCTGTCTTTGGTGTTAGCAAAAGTTGACATTTTGGTTACATTTTACTCACCTTGCATTGTCGTAGATCTGCTTGTAGTTGTTCTGCAAAAGAACATTTTTGTCTTGTGATTTTTTAAATATATAATTTCACACAAGAGCTATTTAGAGTTCTTTATTATTGATAAAAGAGATTTGCTTCTCTAAACTGTATGGGAAAGTGAAATTACCAAACAAAAATAAGTATCTCAGCTTCCTTCTAGGCTATGTCTCCACTACTACATAAGTCTGAGTTTTCTATGCCTGCAGTCGTGCTTTGAGGATCCTGAAATCATCCTCAACTCAGAAAAGCATTGGGATGTGCAAGGCTCCACTGTGCAGCCATTCAGAAGCATCCTGTAATTCCTATGAACAATTTACTGCAGTAATTTAAGGGCAGCTGGTTCAGTGCATTGATGTTGATCTACTAATCTACCAATATATTTTGTCTGTTATGATTATTCTAGCTGCTTCCGTTCAATGAAGATGTATGAGGCTGGGATATGAAACCAAAAGCAATTCCTCGCTGTTTTTCACTTTCTAAGTTAAAGACCTCCCAGGGCGATATCTGATGCTTCTGGGATGTCATGGGACTCGCTCACCCTCCAAATCATACAGAACATCCTATTTCAGAGCAGCTGACTCAGTTTCTTGTAAAACATTCCTTTTTTAATATACTTTTTCTTCTACTTTACTAACTCTAATAACACACACTTTAATTGGGTTGGTTAATAGGATAGATTGGAATGTAGTCACTGGATGAATGCAGGAATATTATAGAATAATTATTTAAACTAGCAAAAGGTCCGTTTATATTGTGAGATGTTCCAGCTACATGAACTTCAGTGAAATACTGAGAATTACAACTAAATCCTTTGGTAAAGGGAGAGTAAAGACAAAATCACATGAGTTATTTAAAAGAAAGTCTTTGTAGTCATCCAGAATCTTTCATTGTCCCCACAACCAAGCCACTGTACAATCTAGGATGTAGAAAAGGTTGATATGCTCTACAGCAGAAAGCAATAAAGATTTTACAAAGCTCAGCCCTCATTTCATTCCTAGATATTTCCATTTTTATGAATATTCATGCTTCTTTTCAGTCACCGTCTCATTTTCAGAACTACATAACACAGCTACATGTCCCGTAGCCTGACACATGTCACTAGATATGCTGCAAGTCATTCAGACATGTCATAACTACATTAACTATAGGGCTTCTGCTCTTTATCAGAAAAACAGGATACTAGCATTACAAGCATTCCTTATCCAGTATGACAGTTACTTTCATTTCTTATCAACTCACCAAAATGCTACAAAGAGGATGTTAATGCTAACTCCCAAGCACAAACACGCTTAGTGCTATATAAATAACAAGCCAGGCCCTTTCCAAGATATCCAAGAAGTCATAACATTCAAAAAACAGGAAGCCAAATAGCCAGGAGGCATGCATTAGTTCACCTTTTGTGACTTTGTTTTTTGGTTTTTTTGATGTTGCATTATATTAGACTATTCAGTCCCTGGACTTTAACCTTTACCACTGGAGAAACAGCATGCTTAAAAATCATCTAGTGGATCCAATTAAATTTAGATTAATCTCTGATTCAGAATTATTTCTGTCCAATGTTAACAAAATATTACACAGAGAAGGAATTTTTTTTTTTTTTTTTTGTTCCTCTCCCCTTACACTGACTTTTCTCCTGAGACCTGGGAACAGCAGCATCTGGGAGCATGGCCAGGTCACCGTGCTGGACCAGCCCGCTGAGAACAGGGCATATCACCCCAAGTGCCATCACCCTGCTGGGCACAGGACCTGGGCACATCACCACCAGTGCCATTGCCCTGCTGGGCACAGGACCTGGGCACATCACCGCCAGTGCCATTGCCCTGCTGGGCACAGGACCTGGGCACATCACCGCCAATGCCATTGCCCTGCTGGGCACAGCACCTGGGCACATCACAACCAATGCCATCACCCTGCTGGGCACAGGACCTGGGCACGTCACCACCAGTGCCATTGCCCTGCTGGGCACAGGAGCTGTCTGCTCTGCTGCCCCTGGCACGGTCCAGGCAGCAGCACCTGCGGTTTTGCAAGCAGTCACTCCTCTAAGGGATACATTAACCCGCACCCCCAGCCGCAGATCGTGCGTGTTCTCCCCGTCAGGCTCAGCCACAGCCCTGTGACCATCCCCATCCCCGCTGATCATCCCCATCCCCTGAGGACACCCCCGCATACCTGACCCGAGCGCCTGGAAGCGATCCCGGTCCCTCAGGACGCTTAAAGCCGAGCGCACCGCTCTCAACCCGGTGTGCTTGTGTCCCCGTGTCCGTGTCCGTGTCCCCCTGTCCGTGTCCGTGTCCCCCTGTCCGTGTCCGTGTCTGTCCCTCCTGCGCCGCTCGGGTCCTCCCAGCGCTGCGGGGCGGGGCGCCGGGCAGGAAATTGCTGCCAGACTTGCCAAGAAACGCCCGACATTTCTACAGCTTTGCTCTTCGTGACGTTTTCTTTTCCCATTCCTGTCAGCATCAATGCCGATTCAGTCCTTTTTAAATTAATCAATAATTAATTAACTTTATTTCTGCCCTTCAGTCACAGGACATCAGGTGATAACACCAAGTTCTAGGTCCACCCTGATGTCCACCCTGAAAGGAGAACAGATGTACTTGGAACAATTTTACCTTGCTTATAAAGCAGGACCTCAGGGGGAAAAATACCTTTATGTGGACTTCATAGTTGCAGGAACAAGAAGATACAATACTGAACTGTTTGGGAAACAAAGGACTTGGAGTAAGTTGGCTCACGCCCTGATTAACAACGCCGGTGAACCGATCTTCCCTTTTTGTACAATCATGTACATCAGAGTGGAGCTGCTGGTGTCCACGTATGTCTCTTCAAAGGAAACTGCATTTCATGTAAACCACACAAATCTGATCTCAGTGATTGGTGCATGCATGAAATCCAAGACTGAGATTCAATAAGTGCAGGTCACCTTGGACATACTCTGCAGTCTTTGTCTTCTACCTCCCAAAATAAGCTCTCCATTTCAACACTGAGCTTTCCATAAACAAAACCAAACCAAAAAAACCCCTCCCTCCTGCACTGGATTTCACCCGAACACCAGATTTGACAGAGATTTGGTGATTTTATTTTGCTTGTTTCCTCAGGTACAGAAGAATTTAATCTAAAGCTGACTAGCGTTTTCCCACACATCTGCACTGAGTCCACTAAGAGGATTAATAGCAGACACCAAGAAATAGGTTTTAAACTTCTCTTAAGAAATAGGTATAGGATTATTTTGACATGGTTGGGAAATTAGAAATACATGGTAGCTTTTGATGCTACCCTTCTTTTTTACAGGAATATAGCATAGTTATATTTAGCTTGGTTCGGATTTATACACTGAAATTCAAATTGTGTTTCCAAGCAAACATGACTTTTGGACCGAGAGATGAATGTTATTTCTTAGATGACAATATTGTTGTCTTATCAGAGAGAACAAAGAGCAGCATGTCTCTTCCATTCACGCATCTGTAAGGAAAAGAAATCTATCCACCTGCAGTGGCAGAAAAAGAAGATGTCACGATTCACAAAACACCAAGTAATTTATCAGTCTTTACCATATCAAATAATGTTCCGGTTCTTTTCTTATCTAGCGAGGATCAGTGATGTTGTAACTGACAGTGCTTTTCTGTTAGATCAGGTCACTATCTTTTTACTCTGTCCAGTGAGAAGATTTGATCAGCAGGAGAATGCCTAAAACATTAAGAAAAGAAGTTGAAATTGTTTCAGAGAGATAAGAAAATGACTATGCTTTTAGTAATTTAGTCTTTTAGGTTGAAGCATTTTAACGTGAGAAGAAACATTATTTGTAGATTCTTGACCCCTATTTCTAGGATTTCTATATTGCTTATGGTCTGGATATTAAGAACATTACTTTCTACTGTTTTAACTTCTGATGCTTCTGATGTTGGCTGCTCATCTGATCCTGTGGTGCCCAGCA